ACCTAATTGATGTTGCATAAGTGTCTTAATCTATCATTTTTAGTTATGCAATGATGGCCTGACGGATTAAAATAAGTTATTTTATAAATTATATGGACTAAAAAGATTAATTTTAAATTTTGGGACCAAACAAAAATTATCCTAAATTTGAGGACTTAAAAACACATTCAAGTCTATTTTTTTTTATTGGTGTCTTATCTTATATGCTATATTTTCTAATGTGTTTTCTGTTTTAATATTTGTTATTTTTTTTGTTTTATTTTTACTCTAGTTGGTCACATACAATTATGATTTGTTCCATTCAAATTCAAAGGTTTCACAAGTTACTACAAGAAAATGCTAAATGGATATCTTTATTGCTGGTCTTGCTAGCCCTTGCACATTTTGCTATAGTTATGGAGTCTTATTGATCCCTTATATATGTATCTTTTAATTTTTGTTGATTGTCTTATTAAATTTATTGTGCAATTGCAGTTTGCTTTATTGCACTCAAAGGAAATCAAAAGTTGATACTTTTACTCTTCATTATTCAAGGTTCAAAAAGATGTAGCAACAAGCAGGAAAATTTGGGTGAGTTAGTACAAAATATGAATGACATTTTGTAGTCCTCAACAGGTAAGTCAAATAAAATCTAAAGTTGTTTAAAGGGAATTATTTTTTTTAGGAAATTACAAGCAATAGTTATAATGTTGTACTTTATTGATGTGTGAGCATGTTAGATAGGTTTAGTAATACACTCAAATCTAGCAGTTGTTAAAGTTGTCACGTTCTACTAAGTTTGTCTCTCAACTTCTCTTATAGTGGTAGCTAAATGATTTTTAAAGGAAATATTTTGCTTTAAGCGTAATCTTACATACAAAAGAATGTTTGTTTGTTAATTCACCCAAATTTAGGATGTGTATGTATGTAGGTACAAGATCATAAAAAAAAAGAAGAAAAACTTGATAACTTGCTTGAAGAGAATAATGGTTTGCTTAGATACAAGTTTATAAGTGTTTTTGATAGTTTTTCTACTAAAAAAAGATGTTTTTCTAATAGAAAAACTTTCAAAAATACTTTTAACTTGTATCCAAATATGTTCTAAAGTGATATATAATTATTATTATTACATGAAATTGCTTGTGGATTATAAACAACATTAACCTAATCAAACTTAACCTACCATCCTTCCTACTATTGAGTCATACAATTAAATTTCCTTGTAAGTTTAATCTTATGAAATACAATAAGTGGATTGTTTAAAGTAGGGAGTGATGCAACTCATTTTCTATTGCTTATTGTTTATGATCTTATCAGTTTCTACTAAATGATGCTTAAAGACTCAAAATCAAAGACTTAAAAAAGTTCGATGACATTTTTGATGTTTTATTAAAAATAATGGTCAAAATTATTGATAATAATAAGTTAGGTCAGCTCAGACTGGGTTTTGAATATATAAATCAAACCTATTCTATAAAATTAGGCTCATGATATGTACACCTCTTATTTATTTATTTATTTTTTATAAATACACCTCTAATCCATTTTTTAAAATAAAGTTTCTAAAATGCCCTTCTAATTAATTTTCTATTTTAAATTTTATTTTTAAAATCATCTTTTCACTCACCCATTCCTCTATTCTTCTTCTTTTAGTTCATCTCTCTAATCACTCTTTCTTGATTTTATTCTTTTTCATTTTTTGTGCTTGATTTTTCCTTTTTGACAATCAAGAAAGTCACATATTATCTTTATATTTTTTAAATTCTATTTTTCACTTCCAACTCTATCATTATTTAAACCCTAATTGTTCATTAACCTTCATTGTTCCCTATATTCAATACAAGGTACAAATGAATGTGTTAAATTATATTTTTTATTTATATTTTTTTGGTAATTATTTAACATTACTCATGCATAATAAGAATAAATAACTAGTTAAAAAAATAATGAGATATAAAAAAGAGAGAAATAGAGATATGAGAGGGAGAAAGAAGGAGAAAGGGAGAGGGAGAGGCAGAAAAAGTGAGAATGAGAGGGAGAAGGAGAGAGAAAAAGTGAGAGTGAGAAAGACAATTAGAAACAACAAGAAAAAACATGAAGAAAGAAAAATAAAAAAGATGTATATTTTAGAAAGATGAAACTCAACTATATATTTTCTATTTTAAAAAGAATATTTTTTTTATATAATTAAAACTTTCCCTCCTAGTCGGGAAAGTTAGAATCCCAACTCCTTCGTGAGAATGTTTTTGTGAGAAAATGAAATAAAAATATTTTTAGAAAACAATATTTCTTGAAAATTTTGTTTTTTAAAATAGATACCAAATATTGGAAACTTAGATTCCTAAGAAACTAAAAACTTATCCCTTACCAAACATTAAAGTCGTCAAAGTGGGTTTCGGGCCGTGAGTTAACCTGACCCACCTTGAAAACTGGCCGGGTCGGGCTAAAAAAATGAAAAATATAATAATGGGTCAAAAAATGTGACTTGACCCACTTTCAAACTGGCTCACCTGGGCTGAAACCGTGGTGGGCTGGGCTGGCCACCGACCCACTTACACCCCTTTTAACCCAACTGACTAATAATCCACTTAACTATTTATTATTATATATGTATTATTTTAACAAGATACCATTATTTTTTGTAGATAAAGATAAAGTCAATGTTAAACACATGAAATTACTATAAATTTATCTACTCAAGCCTTTAATAAAATTTAATATTGATGAATAATCACTCTCATGAAATGATTTTATTTTTATTTTTTGATTATTTAAAGTTGTACACTTTTTAATTTAAGTTTAATGTTGTATGCATGATACTTAATTTGACAATTTTTACTTTATATTAGAGATTATTTTAGATCGAAATTTATTTTAAATTATATTTTTAAAAATAGGCGGGTTGATGGACTGACCCATTTAGTCCACCAACCCGTGGTAGGCTGGGTTGGGTTAACCCACTTAAAAAGTGGGTTGAGGTGGGCCGAGCCAAATGGGTTGGGCTGATCCGTTTTGACAGTTCTACCAAACATCCCCAAATTTAATATTGTGCTTTCTGAAAGTGTGAAAGAAGAGGAAATGTTTGGAGAAAAAAAATGAGCTTTTGTATGGCTTGGTACATTCAACAACACATTCCCCTACAATGTCGATGCGTACATGTTTTACGATTAAGGTGCATATGAAAATTGAAAGAGGGGAGGGAGAGAGTAACAATATAAGAATTCAAATGAGAGAATGGAAGAAAATAATGTGAAAATAATTAAAATTATCTACTGAAATAGGTGGGATGGAGGTGAACAAGGAGACACATGTGACAACTAAAAGGGAAAGGAAGGTGGTATGTAAAAAACAGAAGGAGAAAATGTTAAATTGAATGTTGAAGGTGTAAAATTTAAAAATTAGAAAATAAACAAAATTAAAGATATTTTAAGAATTTACCTTTTTAACAAAGGGAAATAAGCATATTTATATATCACGAGTAGAGTTGTCAAAACGGGTCAGCCTGACCCGTTTGACCCAACCCACCTCAACCCACCTCAACCCACCTTTTAAGTGGGCCAACCCGGCTTGACCCACCAAATTTATCATGCAAATTTTTCTAGCCCGTCCCGGCCCACCACGGGTTGGTGGGCTAAACGGGCCGCCCACCAACCCACCTTATTTTTTTTAAAATTATAATTTAAAATAAAATTTAATATAAAATAATATCTAATCTAAAGTAAAAATTATCAAACTAAATATCATAGATACGACATCAAAATTAAATTAAAAAGTGTACAACTTTAAAAAATTAAAACAAAAAAAATAAAAATTCTTTCATAAGAGTGATTATTCATCAATATTAAATTTTATTGAAGGTTTGGGTAGATAAATTTATAGCAATTTCATATTGTTTAACATTGATTTTATCTTTATCTATAAAAAAATGATATCTTATTAAAATAATGCATATATAATAATAAATAGTTAAGTAAGTTGTTAGTGGGTTAAGTTGATGGGTTGGTAAGTAAGTCTGGTGGGCTGCCCGACCCACCACGAGTTCAACCCGGGTGGGCCGGGTTGAAAGTGGGCCATGTCACATTTTTTGACCCATCATAAATTTTTTTTTATTTTTTTGGCCCAACCAGACCTGTTTTTAAGGTGGGCCAGGTTGACCCATGAGCTGGAGCCCACTTTGACAGCTATAATCACGAGTCGATCGACCTTGTGTTTACATGTTCGATTATTATCTATGTTAAAATAATGCTTGACCAACAAAATGTACACATATGAGCATATATTGGTCTTTAGTTATAAATTTTAGAAGAGTTAATCACCTATACACTGCTAGTGTAAAGTTTTTTATACCGACAACCAATCATATCTTTTAATAGTGTCATGTCAGTTGCTCATTTAATAAAATAAAATAATTTAAAAGATATGATTGATTACTAGTGTAAAAAACTTTACACTGACAATATATAAATGATTAACTCATTTCAGAATACTGTATAAACTATGTTCATGAAAAAAAAAACTTAAATCTGAATTATTATCTATTATCGTTTTTTTGCATTATAAAGAATAACTTTCTTTATTATTATTCTTATTATTTTTGAAATTTGAAGTTCAAAATAAAAAAGTTAATGTACATCTATGCACACTAATATACACTCACATATAATTATAATAAAAAAAATAATCTTATAAAAAAATATTGAGAATTTATTTATTTCATTATATTTTTAATACAATAATACGAATATTATTTTTTTACTATATTATTCTAAATGCAAATTAGTTAATTTGCTATGTATTTTCTTGTTTTCACTGAATTGTTTTCTCTAAAATACGTTGACTAATTGCCGTTACATTGTTAAAAGTTTTAATCAGTACGTAGTTACTGTACGCCATGGCGCAGATGATCACAACCAAGTGAATAAAATTTTGATCAGACATGCCATAATGAGCCATGTGTCAAGCCTAAACTGTTTTGCATTTTTGATTTTCCATTTAAAGTTCTGGGAATTTTTGATTTAAACCCTTTACCTCCCAAGGGAGAAAGAAACCCTAGTCCTCTCACGGTTAAAAAATCAGAAGGAAAAATAAAAAATAAACAGAAAAATAAAAAATCAAAATTATTGGGAATTTCAATTTCAGGGATCCTATTAGGGTTTCTAATAGGCAAGATATTCTCAAACCCTAATCCGTCAATTCGCGCCCGTGATCTTCGATTTCTGTGGGACGATTCGATTGGTGTCATTTCGGTTGAGGTAAGTAAATGTTTGAATAATTGTATTTTTTGGGTGTTGTTGAATTTTTGAATAATTTTGCTGGGTATTGTTTGATAAAATAAACACAATGCATGAGGGTGTTGGGAATATTGAATTTAGGTTTGTGTTGGTTAGGTATCTTTTGTGATTTTTTTTCGTTGTTTTGGTGTTTCAGATCCAAGACAATGTGCAAATATGTATGATGGAATGTGAAAATTAGGGGAATTTTGCTTTCATCGTTTGTACTGTTAATTTTTCATGGAAGGCCGAGTAGAGAACTCTAATGGCGCTACAATTCCCAAGAAATCAAGATCTCTGGATCTTAAAAATCTATATAAATCAAAATTGACAGAAGAGACTGCAAAAAAGTATTTAAAGAGGATTAGCAGTAGTAGTGGGGGTGGTGATGAGAAGAGGAAGAAAAAGAAGGCTAGAAAGGAAGTCTCTTTAAGTAACTTAGAAAATGGTGATGGTAGCAGTGAGTTAAAGTTAGGTGTGAGTCAGATATTGAGTAATGATAGTATGCTCTATAGAGTTTCATTTAGTGTTGGTGGCGCTGATGTTCAGATTCCCAAGAGGAAGAGGAGTTTTGTGGGGAGGAAGAAATCAGAACTTGGTCAAACATCAAATCTGGTGGAGCAGCCCAGTCGTAACATTGGCTATGGTGATCAGGTGCCAAATTTAGGTAGTGATGATTTGGGAAAGGGGGTTGAGTCTTTTAAGATTAAGCATAAGAAAGAATTTGATGAATTTAAGGAAAATAGGAATAGTGATTCAAATTCAGTTCAGCATTTTAAAGAGAATGGGGATCGGGCATCTCATTCTGTTGTAAATAGTGGTGATTCTTCTTTAACAAAGTCACGAAGGAAGAATAGGAAGCGAAAGACTTTGGCTTTTGAGAGAAGTAAGGTTTCCAAGGAGGCTGAACCTTTGGTTTCAAGTTGTAAAATATCTGATGATTTGCAAGATGAGGAGGAAAATCTGGAGGAGAATGCAGCTAGGATGCTATCTTCAAGGTTTGATCCAAGCTGTACTGGATTTTCTAACAAAGGTTCAAATGGTTTGTTCTTTTTCCAATCATCTTGTCAAAGTATTGTTAACCATGGTTTAAAGTCCCAGTCAGGTTCTGAATCAGCATCAGCTGATACTGATGGCAGGGTTTTGAGGCCTAGGAAACAATATAAAAACAAAGGTAATTCCAGGAAGAGGCGCCATTTTTATGAAATTCTTTTAGGTGATGTGAATGCATATTGGGTACTGAACCGGAGAATTAAAATTTTTTGGCCTTTGGACCAGAGTTGGTATCATGGCCTTGTGGATGACTATGATGAAGGAAACAAGTATTACCATATCAAATATGATGATCGAGATGAAGAATGGGTTAATCTCCATACTGAGAGGTTCAAACTCTTGTTACTTCGTAGTGAAGTTCCTGGAATTGCAAAGGGTGGAGGAGCCTTCATGAAACGTAGAAGTTCTGATCACCAAAAGAAAAGCAAATTCAGAAAAGAAAGACAAAGAACAGAAGAAAATACAGAGGATGATCGTTGTGGTGGGAGCAGTATGGACTCAGAACCTATAATTTCGTGGTTGGCTCGATCTTCTCATCGGCTTGGATCTTCTTTTCAAGGCAGCAAGAAACAAAAAACTTCTGTTGCACCTTTATCATTCTTATATGACGAACCTGTTACAGCAAAGGGATATTTAGCTAAGAGTTCTTCAAGGGGTGTTAAAAACAATTTGTCTGGTGGTTCTGTATCACAAGATAAATTGAGTGATGGTTTTAGGGAGAAGTCCTCATTACAGAGCACCACTTGCATTAAAGATGGAAAGCAACCTATTGTCTATTTCAGAAGGCGGATTCGAAAGCCAGCTCCAATATCCCCTCATATCTCTGAAGAAAACCATGCTATTATAAGTGCATCTGGTTCTGTTTCCTATGACCATATGTTTGGTGGTGTTGAGAATATGAAAGACCAAAGCGACAGCAGGGTTGAGATTGAGGGTCCATTGTTCTTCACTTTCAAGGCGGGAGTATCAAAACTTTTTTGGGACATGGAGTCAGTATCATTCAAATTTCACTTAAACTTTCCAACACGTTTGGTGTTGACCGACTATTTTCAATCTGAAAATTTGTGGTTGCTTTATACTGTTTTGCTGCTTCAGTATGGTACAATTATGACCAAGTGGCCAAGGGTTTGTTTGGAGATGCTATTTGTTGATAATGTGGTTGGGTTGAGGTTTCTATTATTTGAAGGCTGCTTGAACATGGCTGCAGCCTTTGTCTTTTATGTCCTTAGGGTATTTCATCAACCTGCTCGTCAAGGGAAGTATGTTGACTTTCAGTTTCCAAGTACATCTATTGGATTCAAGTTTTCTAGTGTTCATGTTTTTAAGAAGCCACTTGTGTTCGAGTTCTACAATTTCTTTGAAGTCAAGAATTCAAAGTGGATGTGCTTAGATTCTAAGTTTAAGAGGCACTGCCTGTTCAGCAAGCAGCTTCATCTTTCTGAATGCACATATGATAACATCCAGGCACTTCAAAATGAATCAAGTGGGTTTTCCATTACATCTATCAGTGGTTCCTCCTCAGTCAAGGTACTTGTTCCCTTTTTCTTTCTTCTATATATCCTGATTGGTAATTCCTACCTTAATCCCTTTTCAATAATTTTATTTTCCATGTTTAACACTTGGTACTGTAATTCAACATTGTATATCAAAGTTTCCAAAAGTCACTGCAAGTAAGCTTATGTTGAGTTTTGTTGTGAATCAAATTGTGCAACTTCTGCATGAACAGGTGCAAAAGAGGAGTAGGCAAGGGATTAACATCATGGGTGTTTCCAAGTTGTCCACTCAAGCTGATACTCATCAGTATTTTGATGCTGGTGAGAGGGAACTTCCTCCATTTGCTCTCTCTTTTGCTGCAGCACCTACATTTTTTCTTTGTTTGCATCTAAAGTTGCTGTTGGAGCAGTCTGCAACTCGTGTAAACTTTTATGATCAGGAAGACCCTAGTTTGATGGCAGATGGATGCACTAGCACCAATGAATGCTCAAACAGGAATTCCGAAATTATTCTGAGGAAAGATATGGAGATTTTGTCAAATGGTGTTGCAACTGATGGAAGGTCTTGTGCTGACTCAGATTGTCCCTCAACTTTCAGTGATCAAATTCTCTCTCAAAATTACAAGAACATTGGTCTTAACAGTGCTGGTATTTCTATTTCCCATGGTTCTGAGAGGCTTGGTACAACTCACTTACTCGAATGGCAATCCCACCATTTGGGACAAGAATTAGGCTCTTTACCTTCAAGTTCTATAATAAGTCAAGATAAGGCTGATGATGGTTCTCATTCTTTTATTTGTGATCTCAGTATCCAAATTCCAGCTGTTGATCAATTTGAGAAAACTGGTGATGGTGATTTATGTGATACAAAACACTCTCCTGATTTCTCTTGTAATATAAATGGAGGCATTATTCCAAGATCCAATCCAACTGCTCGCAGAAGTTCTTGGTATCGGAACCGGAATAGTTCCTTGTCATTGGGATTTCAGTCTCATGCGTGGTCTGAAGATTTTAGCAATGGACCTAGAAAACCACGTACACAAGTATCATACTCTGTGCCTTCTGCAGGCTATGAATTCAGTTCAAGGCAGAAAAACCTTCACCAGAAAGGGCTTCCTCACAAACGAATTAGAAAGGCTAGTGAGAAGAAGTCATCAGAGGTTGCTAGGGGCCTTGAAAAACATTTCGAATGCTTATCTTGTGGTGCAAATGTCTTGATTACTCTTGGTGATAAGGGTTGGAGAGAATCTGGGGCTCACGTTGTACTAGAGTTGTTTGACAACAATGAGTGGAGACTTTCTGTGAAACTTTTAGGAATTACTAGGTATTCATACAAAGCCCATCAGTTTTTGCAGCCTGGATCAACAAATCGATACACACATGCAATGATGTGGAAAGGAGGGAAGGATTGGATCTTGGAATTTCCTGATAGGAGTCAGTGGGCCCTTTTCAAGGAGATGCATGAAGAATGCTACAACCGGAACATCCGTGCTGCATCAGTTAAAAACATACCTATTCCTGGTGTTCATTTGATAGAAGAAAATGATGATAATGGATGTGAGGCAACTTTTGTTCGAAGTGGTAAGTACTTCCAACAGGTTGAAACAGATGTTGAGATGGCCTTGGATCCATTCCGCGTTCTGTATGACATGGACAGTGAGGATGAGCAGTGGGTTTCAAATGCTCAAAATTCTCAAAAAGACAACAGTGACTTGAGTTGGATTTCAGAGGAGATGTTTGAGAAGACAATAGACATGTTTGAAAAGGTGGCATATGCTAAGAAGCGTGACCATTTTACTCCTAATGAGATAGAGGAACTCATGGTTAATGTTGGGCCTTTGTGTGTTGTCAAAATCATTTATGACTATTGGCAGCAGAGAAGGCAGAAGAAGGGAATGGCATTAATACGGCACTTTCAGGTACTGTTCAAATTATCTTATAATTATTTCGATAATTTTTTTGATTTTGGTAATATGTCTGCCTCCATTTAATGACTTTATATGAAAGACACAGCTTTGTTGTTATATTCGGAGAGGAGGATTAATATGTTGTAATGGATTGATCTTTAGCTTTGTTAAACTAAATATTATATCTATGTATCTTGGAGGCCTTTCAAGTCTAAGGACAAGTTTTCTGAGCCATTGAGTAGTGAAGTGATGCATGTTATTTATTGTTCTACTTAACAATTTTGATTATGGCTTCCAGTTTAAAGCAATGCTACTTATTTGGATTTCTATTTTCTACCTACTGTTTGATATTTATTCAATTCTTAAATGTTGGCCAGTCTTTGATTCTGGCAGTGCTAACATAACAGAATAAATTCAGACATGATTTAAATGCAGTATTAATGCTACCAAAGCATAAAGCATTTTAGGAGAGATTGAATTTGTAGAACATTTCTTGGATACAACTTTGGATGATTTATTTCAATCGCTATGGTAGAAGTTAGAACTAGTGGGCATTATTTGATTGGTTGAAAGCATGATGACGTTATTCAATTTACGTTAGCATTTCTCAATGTGGCCTGTTTTCTTCTATACCTGATGTGTATGCTTTTGTCATTATTTGCTTGAAGTTTCATCTCTGAATCTTTATGTACTTTTCAGCCCCCACTCTGGGAAATATATCAAAAACAAGTGAGAGAGTGGGAAATAGCCATGACCAAGAACACTGCTCCTTCTAATGGATTCCTGGACAAGGTTACAACTTTGGAGAAGCCGGCCATGTTTGCTTTCTGTTTGAAACCTAGGGGTCTGGAATCACTTAACAAGGGATTGAAACACCGGTCCCAAAAGAAGATTTCAGTCTCTGGGCAAGCAAATAGTAATCCAGATCATGATGGGTTTCACACTTTCAGTGAGTATCTGATTTCCAAGTTGATTTCATGGGTTATTAAATTTTAGAAAACAATTTAAGACCCTTAACATCTATTTTGTTGTAAACTCAGGACGAAGACAGAATGCCTTGGCTTTTGGCGATGAGAAGTTCCTATACCAGGGCCACGGTTATGATTCTTTTGATGATTCATCTATGGCTATGAACTCACCAAGGGTTTACTTACCCCGTGATGCTGGGAACTTGAAATACCATCCTACAAGTAATGGAGTGGGATGTAGAAATCATATCCCAAAATTTCAGGAGTCCAGATACGATCTGCATGGCAACGGGCATCACCTTCCTGCTGTCCCTAAGAGGCAAGGTAATGAACAGTTGGAAGCTTCAGTCCTTGAGGAGTTAAGGCTGCGTGATGCAGTGGCTGAGGCTCATCATAAACGTCATCTGGCTAACTTGAAGAAAGAGAGGGCTAAAAGATTGCTGTATAAAGCAGATGTAGCAATTCACAAGGCTGTGACTGCTCTAATGACTGCAGAAGCAATGAAAGCTTCTGAGGAGTCTCTTGATGAAACGAAAGCTTCAGAGGACTAATCTTGTAATTCACATGGTCTATGATTTACTTGGTCAAGAATTGTGGTCCTTTTTTTTTTTGGCTATCCAGGTATTCAATAGAGCTTAAATCATGAGTTGGGTTCAGTGAGGGATGGAGATTCTGTTGTTGCATACTGCAGCTCCCTCTCTGTCTACTGGAACCTCTTCCAGCTTGGGATCTGCTCAGTTCAGAGTAACTGTAGCACTGATCTGCACATGGTGTATAGGTCTATGAATTTTTGACTGCCTATATTTGTACAGATTCGCTCCCCCCTTCTCAGTTTCAAACATTCAATATCAAAATAGAAATAGGTCAAATAATACAACTTTGAAATGGAGATAGTCATGTTTCTTTCATAATTTAGGTAAAATAGTAGACTAGTACATCTGCAATTGATTGTTAAGTTTTTACTTCTAGTCTCTCGCATTAACACTCTTGTGCTGTGTTTGGAACAATGAAAAGATAGAGAAATTTTGAAATTTAAACCAAAGAGAAAATTGAATTGAGTTTGATACAATGAAATTTAAATTTAGTTTGGTCAATTTGAGAAGGGTGTAAAAATATTTTTAACCAATTCTAAGAAATTAGATTGAACTCTTATTGGGTAAATAAGATTATATATATATATATATATATATATATATATATATATATATATGTAAAGGAATAAAATAATATTAGTAT